GAGTTGCTGCCTCAAGCGGCAGTTGCTACTAGCAAATCCAGGGCTGGTATTGACTGCGTCTAGTAACGCCTGAGAGTGTATATGAGAGAACAGTGACAGCTGTTTCTACATGATTGTGAAGCAAGTCCAAGTGTCCCGCAATTAGTGTCTTTCTTTACACGCGGGGGTGTCATGTATAGTAATCTATGCTGCGTCGGTTGAGAGCATGGCGTGTTTAAGTGGCACTTGAGAAGGTGCGACTACCCGAACGCGCGTGTGCGCGCGAGTGGAAATTGGTTAAGGATCTTCAGGTCAGCGAGGGGGAAGTCACCCTCTGCGAAATCACACGAATTTGAGGCAGTCGGCTTTGAACAAACAAATCGGACATTTCTGGCTGTCCCCCAAGGGCACCGGGATGAGGCATTTATTATGCACATAACTCTGAGTTGCTGTCTGAGGCAGCAGTAGCCAATAACGTGGTCAAGGGTGTTGTGACTGCGTCCATTCGGGTCTGAGAACGTGGATGAAACAGTGGTTTCGTGTATAGTTATACTTTACGCATAAATGGTTTCTGGCTTCAAAACAGGGTTAGTGGAACTCAAACCATCCAGAGTAGAGGAGATCATATAGTCTTATGACGTATTCTGGTAAAAAGTCTGTCTCTCCCACCAAAAATGCTTTCCGAGGCGGGCAAAACACTTCCGCACTACTGAACATGTAATTTAAACAGAAAACCTGTTGGCATAATCTGCTGAACGCCTATGTTACACAACATCCTCTAAAAACAGTCGGCGTAAGAATTTGATTTAGGTATAGGAGTTACCATCAGTTTGCCTGTGTGAGGGGATGTGCTTACGCCCACACCTCCCTCAAGACTTTGTCAGGCAATGGAAACGAAGTGTGTTGGGAAAGACAAGCTGATGTAGCTAGATCGAAAATCCGTTTCACTGCACACAAACTTGTGCACAATCAATTACGAGACGGACGCGGCGGTGGAACCCTGCCATCTTGAGATAAATGCTGTTCTTAGACATTTCGCACGTGGGCTGTCCAGTCCACTATCCGATTTCGCGTCAGCAACCGCCAGCAACACAGGTGTCTATGCGCCAAAAGCAGGAAATATATGGTCAAGTTTGGGGGTG